GCAGAATTACGAGTTACAAATGCAAAATTATGAGATATCAGTGCAGATTACGAGATATAAATGCATAATTCTGAGGTATCAATTCAGAATTACGAGATATAAATGCGGAATTATGAGATATCAATGCCGAATTACGAGTTACAAATGCAAAATTATGAGATATCAATGCAGAATTACGAGTTACAAATGCAAAATTATGAGATATCAGTGCAGATTACGAGATATAAATGCATAATTCTGAGGTATCAATTCAGAATTACGAGATATAAATGCGGAATTATGAGATATCAATGCAGAATTACGAGTTACAAATGCAAAATTATGAGATAGCAGTGGAGAATGACGAGATATAAATGCATAATTCTGAGGTATCAATGCAGAATTATGAGATATAAATGCAGAATTGTGAGATTTTATTCTGTGGCAGAAACAGGTTTCCATAATGTTCTTTTAATTCTAATGTTGATATTTTCAAAACTGAAAATGTTTTAAAACATTAAAAACTGAGACAGTTCAGATGCATATTTTCTAATGTCTAATTGTGATTGCTAAAAGGTTCTGAATTTGTAGGGCTTCAATGCTGATGTCCTGCTAATCTATTTTCGGCTGTGAGCTGCTGGAGAATCAGAGGTCAGATAGTGACTCAGCACTTTTGTTAACGCCCCAGACTGAAATGCTACTTTTTGCAAGTTTGAAATAGCCTGAGCTAGTAAGTGGGCAGCTCTCATGGCCTTTGAGCTTCTTCTCAGCTTCTTCTGTGTGTAATATGGCATTCATGTAACTTAAATAGTAGAACATGATGCCAAGGTCATGGGTTGCATTCTCAGGGAATGCATGAATGCAGTGTAATTTACTTTGGATTAAAGCACCTACCAAATGCATTCATGTAAATGTTCTCAGGCTAAAGAACTGACAGCGAATGCAAAGTCATATAGCGTATCTGTACATTTGTATGATCTAATTCAGCCTATTTTGATTGCTTGCATGGTGCTCCTGTTCTTATTTCAGCAGTTCGTGACAGAATGGGATGGAAATGTCACAGACAGTCTTTCAGTCTGTCATTTCATCCATTATTAATTGCTGAGTGTGACAGACCTACGACTTTTTGGCAAAAACAGTTGGTAGGTTTGACACCCCTGTCCAAATTCAAATTGAATCAGCTAATGGGACAGCGCCCTTAACAGTGACTGCTTATAACTATGGTGATTTGTTGAAAACGATGGTTACTGTGGTGTATTTTTAAGGGAAATTTAAACATCAACCTCAAACGCATATATAAACTTTTTCTCTTCAGTATAACCCTCTTGTTCCCTTATCTATGGCTAAACTGATGACATTAACATGATAATTGAATTAATGCACAGTCAGCACTCTCTTTGTCGCTTTCACTGGCTCGCTTTCTTTAATCATTTTTCTCACTAATACAGTCGAGAGCAGTGCAAGTGAGTTTTAATCAAGTAGATCTGACCGATGTAATGTGTTCTGCTCACTGTAGATGGCACTATGTGCGTAAGACTGTGGATGTGGGTGGTTGCGTGTACATTACCATTATAGTCGTGACGATAACAGTTCTGTTCTCCATAGCGGAATCATTTCCCATGGAGAGTTCATTCTGGACCAGAACCAATTTATCCAGGTCGTTCCAGTAACCAATCTGCAGATGATAGACGATGGGGTGATCAATCCTGTGTGTATCAAATTACGGTGTGTATCTGTATAAATGGATGCTTGTGTGTCTAAATGTATGAAACTGTGTTGTGTGTCTGACCTTGCGGGGGCCGTTACTCTTTAGCTCAAAGACATCCATGGTGTAGTTGACTCTGCGTCCATAATGGTCAAACTGGATATTCCCAGTGAGACCCTGGATTCTCACCTTTACGCACACACATACACAAGGAAGTATTAGTAAGACAGAACACATATCACCTTTGGTAAACATGGAGCAAAGTTATAATTTGTAGCTACAATTTTAGTTTGCTGAGTGGATTCAACTTTTAAGATGAGTTCAAACTAGTGTCAGATTTGATAGCAAGTTTATGTATCCTTTGTATCCTGCATTGTTCGAGCCCCCATTTAGTCCCGCCCACTCCCACCTCTAGTACAGAGCTCTGCCCATTCTTACCTGTCAAAGAGCATCAAATCCACTCCCACCTGTTGTACAGTCCTGCCCACTCTCACCTTTCAGACAGTGTCCTGCCCACTCCCAGCAGCCGTTCAGAGTCCCGCCCACTGTCACTTTCAGACAGTGTACCGCCATATAGAGGCCTGCCAACTCTTATCTGTTAGACAGCATCCTGCCCACTTCCACCTGTCATACAGAGTCCCGGCCACTAACACTTTCAGGCAGTGTCCCGCCCACTTGCTGTACAGAGTCCCACCCACTCATATCTTTCAGACAACAGTCCCGCCCACTCCTACTTGTCATGCGAAGCCCTGTCCAAACTTGCCTGTCAGAGAGCATCTCGCCCAGTCTCACCTCTCTTTCAGTTCCACCCACACTCACCTTTCAGGTAATGCTTCACCCTTCGTACAGAATCCCACCCAAAGCTTCCCACCCTGTCTCACCTGTCATATAGAGTCCCGCCCTTTCCCACTTGCCATACAGAGTCCCGCTTATTCCCATTTGTCATACAGAGTCCTGCCCATTACCACCTACCTTACACCAGGGGTTTTCAACCTTTTAGGACATGCACCCCCCCCCCCCCCCCCCCCCCCCCTCACCAATTGCTGGGTTTGTCCCTATTTAACCCAGCACTGGGTTGTATTTAACCCAGCATTTTTTAGAGTGTATTTACATAAGAAATGCACGGATCCGTTATACTGATATACATTTGATATTTTCTTTACTGTTTACATTCACTTAAAACAACCGACTGTGCATACAAGGATACTTGTCAAGACAGCCATTGGTATTCACCTGCTGTCTGAGAAGGCTATCTGTTTGTGCACTTCAGGTGTGCGCGGTGCGCATAGAAACGCTCTATCACAGTGCGTGCATACCGCATTGAGATGTCTTGGGCTTAAATGGCTAAAAATTACTTTAATGTTTAAACTGACAAGACTTAAAACACGTGAGAATGAAAAACTTTCTCGAGGAAGCAGCACTGGCCTGATCGTTAAGATAGTTTTGGGGGGCTAAGGTGACAGATAGGGGGGCTGAAACCCACCTAAAAGGGTTTACAACCGCCCCTGGTATAGCATGCGTAATTATACTGAAACATAAATATATAACAGTTTACCTGATTCAATGTGATGGCTGAGCCTGTTTCTGAGATAACAACATGCCAATCCGTGGTTGGATTTCCGACACGGCTAATTGTAAATCATCTTACACTGTCAATAAGCGTGACCAGGGTTGCCAGGTTTTCACAACGAAACCAATCTAATTGATACTCAAAATTTGATTGCCCCCTAGTGGATGGCTAAAGACTTGTTAACTCATATTCATAAATCCTCAAGGGAACGTCTCTGAATTAACTGATGCTCGCACCCTGCTTAACAGATGCTGGCCCCACAGGTTGAAAACCCCTGCCTTACACAGTCCTTTTTATTCCCACTTGTCATACAGAGTCCCACCCATTCCTGTTTGCCGCACAGAGTCCCGTTTATTCCCACTTGTCATACAGAGTCCCGCTTATTACCACCTGTCATACAGAATCCCTCCCATTCCCATTTGTCATATAGATTCCCGCCCATTCCTGTTTGTTTTACATAGTTCCGCCCATTCCCACCTGTCGTACAGAATCCCGCCCATTCCCACCTGTCGTACAGAGTCCAGCCCATTCCCACCTGTCTCACAGAGTCCCGCCCATTCCCACCTGTCATACAGAGTCCCGCCCATTCCCACCTGTCGTACAGAGTCCCGCCCATTCCCACCTGTCATACAGTCCCGCCCATTACCACCTGTCTCACAGAGTCCCGCCCATTTCCACTTGTCGTTCAGTCCCGTCATTACCATTTGTTAGATAACATCCTATCCAGTCTTGCTCACAGCATCCCATCAACTCTCACCTGTCTTGCACAATCCCACCTGCTCTCACCTGTTTCAGATTTCGTTCCATGTCGATGCCCTGGTTCCAAGGAGCAGCTGGGTTTGCCAGACAGTCTCCAGCGTTGCCTCTGCGAGAGATGTCGATCTTCTGTCTGCGCAGATTCCGAAACGCCTCCGCCATCACTAGCACACCATCATACGTCAATGATGATGTGTACTGAGGAGGTAAAAGGAATATTGTGTCTTTATTTCATTCACACTACATTACCCATGCTTCCTGTTTACAAGCACATATCCAGTATAATGCAGAGCCGTCCTAGTGCCTAAAGTAGATGTAAATGCAACAGAGAGGGCAATCTAGGTGAGTGCATTGATTATTGCCTCCGCCGGCTTGCTTGTAAGGCTGTGTACATGATGCAATGTGACATAAAACTGCAATGTAGCACCGTCACTACTTGTTACTGGAAAAGCTATTTAGCTGTAAAGCAGTACAGATTGTTGCTACAGAACAGTAAAGATCAAGAGAGATTGCTGGGGAAAACAGTGCATCGTTTTTCTCTTTATGAGGTACCACTAGCGGTAAAAAAAAACCTTAACCTCACCAACAATCAAAATGGATTTTCATCTGTTGTTATTTCCATAAACAAATACAAAAGCACGGCTATTCGCATGAGTAAATCGTCCCAATAAGACAGAACGAGTGTCAGTGGCTGGATCTGCACTGACACCGTTTGTTATGAATGAACTTGATCAGCAGAAGATTTATGGTTCTAGCAGAAGCATAATAACATCCAATTAACATTGAGAGAAAGACAGAAACAAACAACAATCATTAAAGGGGGAGTCAGCGAGTGAGATGCAGAAAATCAAGAGCGAGCAAGAGATGGAGATAGTCAAGGCTCTTGCCTATAAAGTGTGCTCTAATGAACCCATAAAGATTGGTCTGATGTTCCTCTGATAATTTATAGCAGGGACTGCAGGATGGAAGTGCTAATCAATGGGAGTAGAGAAGGAGCTCCACGTTATCAACAGAGGGGAAAAGCAAGGTTTTTGAGCTGAGGACAGCACAATGCTATGGTTATGCAGAACAAAACCATCTTAATTAGTATATTTGTCTTGTTTTCTAGTACGGAGAACTGTAATACTTTTTGTGTGGTACCGTGCGAGCATTTCACTTGTATTTGCGACTAAGAATAGATGTGTGCGAACTGTAAAATGTATTTAGGAGCATGTGTGTGAATAACAAAACGGCCCAGTGGGTCCTTAAAGTATAAAAATAATCAGTTTTATGAAATTTAAGGTAATAAGTCTTGAATTATAATATCTGAGTTTTAAAAAAATATCTTACATTTTATAACTAACATCTTAATCATTTTAAGAGTCTTAAATTTGGGAATGGAAAAGCAGGAATTTGTTATTAATATATTTATAAATATATTTATATACTTTACTTAAATGTACTTTTTTAGTATTGTTATTTTTTTTAGTATTTAGTATAGTATTTATGTCTTGGAAAACTAGAATGGTTTCCCAGTCTTCAAAACATTTATTTACTTGTATTTAGACTTTATTTCCCCAACAGACGGGTTAAACGTGGCTCCGGCTGCGGTCTGTCATGGCTTAATTGACTCAAATATTGCTGGGCAGCTGCTCGTTAAAATCTCATTGGCTAAAGCTTGACGAAGAATGTGTCCTGTCACAGTTTGATTGGCTGAACATCTGTGACTGGTGCCACATGCGTCCGACAGGATTATCAGAGTTTCGACCTGATTTAAACCAACCTGCTATCTGCTGGGCGGTTTCGAAGCAAGCTGTTTCAGTAGATAAGGAATTATGCTGCTAATGGATTCAGTGGCGTTTAGTACAGATCTCAGAGCATGTTTGCGCTAATTCCTTTAGTGAACTGGGGGCTGAAACAATGCAGGAAAATAAAGTGTGTGCAAATAAATGTCTGCAGTGTTTGTTATTCAGTGTTTGCATTTGTGTTTAATTATGTTGTAAATGTATTTGCGTACCCTGGGTGGGCTCTCAGATCCTGGATACTCCCTCTGGTCTAGTTTGTTCCAGCGCTGCATTAGTTTGATCACCATTGGTTTGCTGAAATCCACCAACTGGAAACCAGTGACGTTTGCCCCGCCGTGCATAAACCTCTCAAGAGAAATGTCCTTAAATCCCTGCAGGGAGAAAGACAGAGAGCAAATCAGAGTGAGAGCGAATGCAGCCGATTCATTGAAAAGATAAAAAGGTGGAAAAATGGAGATTGACTGAATGAATTTGAGGCGGTGTGAGTTATAAGATTTCTTAATATCCCAGATGCTGACGCTAACAAATGTCAGCGCAGAATACGTTAAGGCACAGCACAAAATAAGCAATGATAAATCACACATAATGTAACAATGTTCAGGTTCAGCAGTCAATCATAGTCAGAGTCTCCGAAATTGAACAAGACTGCAAACTCCTTGAGACTAACTACTAGTTCAGATCAAATTAATCATCCAGATTGTGCTTTACAGTTTCTGAGAGGTGCAAAACACCTCATGTTGCTAGGGTGTTTTGGGTGGTTGCTACGTGATTCGCTCAGATTAATTCGAGAAAGATACATACAGATACATTAAAAAAAGATGTGAGAAGTGCAGTGTTGCCAGGGCATTGATTTATGGTTGCTAAGATGATATGAGTAATGCTTAGCTTGTTGCTATGTGGTTGCTAGGGTGTTTGGTGTGGTTGGTTTTAAATTCTATATTTAAAAATGTAATTATTATATATATTATATATATATTTAAAAATGTAATTAGAGAAAGATTCTTTCAAATACATAAAGTTTTATATTAAATTAATTAAAATTCATTACATTATATTAAATTAATAAATTATATAAAAAAATGATAAAGATACAAATACATTGAAAATTATATTAAATGAATTAAATTATTTAATATAAATGTATACATTTGCTAATGTCGTCTTGGGTGTCGCTGAGGTTAATGAATTCTTTCATTTTAATTATACATTTTAGGAAATTCATTTTAATATTAAAAATAATTATTGTAATTATCGTCTGATCACTTGGTAAAGCACTAGTGCACATGATTTAAGGAATCCTTCACAAACGATGTGAGTTAGATGCCAAAATGTAATACTGCATTCAGGTTTTCTTCAGGAAAGTGAAGCTCAGTCACAGAGAATTACAGCCAGAGGACACGCTGTCCTCTACATGTGTTCATTTCCTCCAGCGCTCCATCCCTGTAGAAACCCGCGCCAGCACTCACCAGGTTAGCCACGATGTAGTGATATCCTTTCACATGTTTGCCCACACTCACAATCTGAGAGAAAGACAGAAATACAAGGAATGAGTGACTGGAAAAGACTATTTTATTACACGCTTCAGCAATACAGCCTACAGATGTATTAATATATACTTGGGAAAGTGTATATTAGAAAGTATTTTTACATAGAAAATAGAGTTTAGGTTCCAAGACATTGTGTGCATTTCAGAATTGACTGAATTGAGAATTTGAATTTGTATTAATGTGGCAAATAGGATGCAGTTCAAATTTGAATGCAAGTACAATTAAAATGAAAACATTCGTTTTCTCCATAGGTGAATTGATTTTGAACAATAACCTTTACAGACCTATTGTGAGGTTGTTAATCGATGGCAAATGCTTTTGTTGAAGCCATCAGCCTGCTTCTTTTTTTTTTTTTTTTTACTTATTTTTGTAAATAATTCCTGGTAAGAAACTACATTACCCATGATTCTGTAAACTCGGCACCAATTACAGAATCAAAAACAGGTCATTCATGACAAAAGAATACTTTCATCATGTCGAAGAGGACTTTTTCACTGGAGGAAGTGTAATTATGGATTATGGACTAGCCAGAAGCAACGTTTTGAAGTGGGAAAAACCTCAAAAAGTTACAAATGTAGCATTGCATCACTTGCTCACCAGTGGAACCTCTGCAGTGAATGGGTGCCGTCAGAATGAGAGTCCAAACAGCTGATAAAAACATCACAATAATCCAGTGATTGTGGACAGCACCAAAAAAAAGTCCAAACAGCTATACTTTGATAGTCCACTTTAGGCATTCTACTTCCTATAAGTAACTTTGCACCTACATGTCAACTAGCAGTCGTTAGAGTATTAGTAGTCTGTCTGTTTAATATCTAAAACACTTTATTTTGATGGTTGCTCAACAGATGTTCTACTGACTATAAGTAACTTTGCAAGTACGGCAGCTTATTCTACTAACCCTAACCTAACAGTCTACAAATGCTCTAATGAGAGTTAGTTGCAAAGTTACTTACAGTAAGTAGAATGTCTAAAGTGGACTATCGAAATAAAGTGTAACCAACATCACAATAATCCACAAGTAATCCACAGCACTCCAGTCCATCAGTTAACATCTGGAGAAGACAAAAGCTGAAACAAATCCAAGTTATTATGGAAAAGTTATTATGGGTTATATTTGAGTTAAAAACATCTTAATGCTTCAGCTTTTGTCTTCTCCAGATGTTAACTGATGGACTGGAGTGGTGTGGATTACTTGTGGATTATTGTGATGTTTTTATCAGCTGTTTGGACTCTCATTCTGACGGCACCCATTCACTGCAGAGGATCCATTGCTGAGACACTGATGCAATGCTACATTTCTCCAGATCTGATGAAGAAACAAACTCATCTTATATGGGCTGAGGCCAAGTAAGTTTTTCATTTTTGGACTATTCCTTTAAGTAAACAGTCTTTTTCAAATACTTCAGTTTTTAATTGAAAATTTAACAAGGAGCCATATCTTTTGCTGGATGTGAGATTTGTCTAGTGTGTAACTGGTATCGGTGTAAGTTCAGTGGCCGCTGTTATCCACATCTGCTCGAGGAACATGCTGGCAGGACTGGCAGGGCATGTAGAGAGAACATTCTGTTGATGTTGTACCTGACTATGTCCAAATGTGAGACTGTGTGTGCGTGTGTGAGAGAGAAAGAGAGAGAGAGAGAGTGTGTGTGTGTGTGTGTGTGAGTGTGAGAGAGTGTGTGTGTGTGTGTGTGCTCGGGGGTGC